CCTTCTTCGATATCCGGGTGACGCACCCTAGGGCCAGCCTGCTGTCGTGTTCCAAAGTCACGAGTCAATTGGAGCGTAACGAAGGAGAGAAGAGGCGGCAGTATGGCGAGAGGATCAATACAGTTGATAGAGGGAGTTTCACTCCGCTGGTGTTCGCGACAAATGGCATGGCTGGGAAGGAATGCACCATATTTTTGAAATATCTGGTTAGCCTGATTCTCGAGAAGAATATCGATCTATCGTACTCTGTTGTGATGAGTCATTTGCGCTGCCGTTTATCGTTTTGTCTCCTTCGTTGGTGTATCACTTGTTTGCGTGGCTGCAGAGCATCCTATCGTACTAAGCGCTCTGCAAATTTTGTTCATGAATGTCGTGTACTGTCGCGTGTTTAAATGACTTGCTCAGTTTTTGTTTTGTTTTGTTTTTCTATTACGAATGCCCTCTTCAGTGTAATCCCTGTTCCGTGCTTTGAAGTTGGAGTTACAATTGTGTTCTTTTCTTGTTTTCTCGCTACCTTCTCTGATTATTGATTTTGAATTGCCTTCATCATTGTTTTGCTTTGAATCTCTTTTTCGTTTTTGTTCCTTTTCCATATTTATAACTTCGGGTTCTTTCAAATAAAGATTTTGACTAGTAGTAGTAGTAGTAGTAGTAGTAGTAGTAGTAGTAGTAGTAGTAGCTGCTGGACCTTCGGCTTTGGATGCGGCTGCCTGGCGTCGGATGGTTGGCATGTTCAAGTCAGCTTCTGACGAGCTCTGTTCGGCCCTCTCTCGCGTGGCCAAATGCCTGTGCACGGAGAGGCTGGACGCTTTGCATCTGCGCCCGTTTCTGGCAGCGCGACTGATACCACTGGATAAGCGACCTGGCGTGCGGCCCATCGCTGTGGGTGAGGTGTTTCGGCGTGCAGTTGGCAAGGCAATCATGGCGGCGATTGAGAAGGATGTGGTGATTGCGACGGCGCCAACCCAGCTGTGCGTCGGGATACCATCGGCATGTGAAGTGGCTGTGGAGGCGCTGTCATCGGTATTTGCCAAGGAGGAGTCAGAGGCAATACTCCTCGTCGACGCCACTAACGCCTTTAATTCAGTGAACCGGGCAGCTGCACTGAACAACATACCACGCGTGTGCCCAGCTGCAGGGCGGGTATTTGTGAACACGTACCAAGCGGATATCCCCCTGTACCTGGATGGTGGCGAGACACTCTACTCAAGAGAGGGCACGTGCCAAGGAGATCCACTGGCCATGGCATTTTATGCTTTGGCTACCGTCCCTCTGGCCAAGCATCTGTCCACAACATGCAGTGGTTCCATGCAGGTGTGGTATGCTGACGACGATGCCGCTGTGGACCGCGTTGTGGCACTCGGTGAGTATTGGAACTGCATCTCGGCTGAGGGCCCGAAGTATGGCTACAAGCCTAATGCTGCCAAGACCGTGCTCCTCGTCAAGAGCCATCTGGTGTCAGACGCTGAGCGGGTATTTGCTGGCACTGGCATCCGGATTTGCTCTGATGGCGTCCGGTATCTCGGTGGAGTCATCGGCAGCACTGAGTTCTGTGATGGGTTTGTGGGAAGCCGTGTGGGTGACTGGTGTGCTTTAACCAAGAGGCTGGCGAGTGTTGCAGAGACCCAGCCCCACGCGGCTTACCACTTATTCATCTCTGCCATTCAGTCTCGGTGGTCATACTTGCAGCGCGTTGCTAATGCTGACGGGGCACTCTACGCACCCCTGGATCGCGTCCTAAATGATCAGCTGCTGCCTGCATTCACGGGCCATTCTGTGCCGGTTGAGGGAGGTTTGCGAGCACTGCTTTCCCTTCCAGCAAAGCTTGGTGGTCTTGCGGTCCGTAGCAATGTGTCACGGGCGGCTGCTGAGCGCACCTTGTGCCGAGACGCCATTGCACCCATGGTGGAGTTGGTAGTCGGTGGCACCTCCACGCATGAGGTGTCGTCTGTGGTAACAGCATGCAGGACATTGGCTGCAGGTGCTCGGGCGGCGCGCCGTGTTCAGCAGCGGAACTTGGCAGAGGAGATCCGATCCGGCCTCCCGCCCACGCAACGGCTACTGGTAGAGGTCGCAGGTGAAGATGGCGTCTCAAGTTGGTTGACGACTCCACCTGCGACTACAATGCCTGGGACCGTTTTCAGCAGGACGGATTTCCGTGATGCTGTGGGCCTACGATATGGCCTTCCCTTGGAAGGTTTGCCAGCATCATGCGTGTGTGGCAAAGACATGACAAGCCACCACGCTATGACATGCCCCTGTGGCGGGTACCCAACGCAACGTCACAACGAGGTTCGGGACCTGCTGGCTAGTGCCATGTCCGAGGTGGCGTATGATGTCGAGTTGGAGCCTGTTCTGCTGCCTCTCGATGGTGAGACGGTCTCAGGTATTAGAGCTGATGCCGCTCGTGCAGACATACGGGCTCGCGGTTTCTGGACGCGACAGCAAAACGCCTTCTTTGATGTTCGGGTTACCCACCCAAGGCCGTCTTTGCTGTCGCGTTCGGGAGTAGCGAGCCAGTTGTCTGACAACGAGAGGCAGAAGAAGCGCCAGTACTCGAGCCGGATCAACAACGTCGACCGCGGTTCGTTCACGCCGTTGGTTTTCGCC